GCTGCCGTTTATTCCTGGGGAACTTCTGCGCTCAACTGTAACAGCTCAGTAACTTTAAGCGCTGTATTGAAATATGGGCACAGGTGTGCAATCCTATGGTATGTTTCTCCTTCAAGGAGATTTTAGCCCAGGATGACAGCATCGAAACTATAAAATGTTAAGTTACAATTCTGCGTAGTCTATTAAGTATTTAAATGTAAGCTTTAAGAGTAAGTTAGAAGAAACCTGTTTGTTTTTTAAATCAGAGGTAAGGGGTCTAAGACATTCCAATAGCGAGTTACATATGACTAAAAACAATATGTTTTATTACTTTAGGGCGAGGTGAGAGGAAACTTTCATTTTGCCTGTGAGCATTTTAGAAAAATGTACATAAAACTATTAACTTCAGTGAAACGACCTACAAATTAAATGTCAAGTCCGTAATACAACCGCTCAAAGGACACACATAAAACAGGATGAAAAGGGAAGGGGCGGAGGAGTGAGAATGCTCAGAAGAGAAGAGCTCTTGGGAAATAGAGAATGAGAAAAAAGGGAAGAAAAGAAAGGCTTTCACAGATGAAGAAAAAGAAAGGACATGAGAGGAGGAATAAAAAGAAAGAAAATGGAAGGGGGAAGGAAAGGCTGAAGGCCCCCTTGGTGTGGTGGTGATTCTTAGGTCTGGTGGGGCGAGGACATATTCCCATAAAGGAGTTTGCGTTTTCTAGTCTGGAAGGACGTGAAATACCTCTGCTCACAGCTTCTATCTGTCTGTGCATAGCTGAAGAGAGACAGGAGGGCCCTAGAAAGAGAAAGGAGGCAGCACGGTTTGTCTTAGGGAACGTTATCTTTTCTTTGTCCTCTTTCCCCTACCTTTTCCACCCTCCACCCCCACTATTTCCATCTCTAAATCTTTAACACTGTTTAACTGGGGAGAGGCAATCAACATTTGAAAATATGGTAAAGCTACTCAGTCTTACTTATAAAGAAATGTAAATCAAAATGACAAGGAAATATTTCGTTTTTTACCTAATAGGAAAAACATTTACATGTTTTCACAGGCATCCTGGCAAAGGTGTAAGTAAACAGTACTCTCAGAAACTGCTTCCAAGAAGGCAAATTGGTGCAACCATTCTGGAAAGCACTTTGGCAGTATGTGGTAAGATTTAAAATATACATACTCTTGATCCAGGAATCCCACTGCTAAGAATTTACTTCATAGATTTTCTCACAAAAACTCGTCAAGATACATACAAAGATGCTCATTGCAACAATGATCAAAATAATTAAAACGTGGAAACAACCATCCACCAAAAGGGAAGTTAAAGTAATTATGACACATTAATGAGATGGAATACTGCAGGTCCCCTTAAAAGGAATGAGGTAGCTTTTTCTGTGTGTGCTTATATGAAAGGCTCTATTATTAAACAAACAAACAAAAAAAACAAAGTAAAGATTGTGTATAGGATCCCCTGTGAGCAATTAAAAATATCATATAGACACATGAGGATATATATACATATATATAAATTTTTTTTTTTTTCCTGGAAAGAATAACAACAGTGGCTATATTGGGGATGGAGTTAGGGAGAGCTTTTAGTCTAATTTTTGTGTTTTTTTTCTACTATTTGAATGTAACTCATTCCTTTTTGCCCTTGTACTTTTTCATTAAAAAACCGCACACATAATAAATGCTTTCCTATAAAGAAAAAATATCTTTCTCACTCTGATGATCAAAAGAGGAAAAAAAAGGTATCAGGTTATCAATTACACAATGGTATCAATGGTATTCTGAGTGTCAGCAAATAGAGCAGGAGGAAACTGAGCCATCCCACCTTGACCAGTATGTCTTTTGTTCAATCCCTGCCTTTCTACTCCCTGCCAGGAGCTCTGGGACACAGAATGGAAGAGTCTTCCAGGCACCAGGGTGGAGTAAACATATAAGATATATATCTGAAAATGGAATTACTATATCAGGGTTAAGCACTGTTTCAAATTTCTCAGATATTACCAAATGGCCTTCCTAAAACAGTCTTCCTACCCACATACCTGACAGCAGTGTTGGAGAGTACTCTGACCTACACTAGGTATAATTTTTTTAAAAAAGGTTTTTGGCCCGAATCTCATAATTTAAAAAATGGTACCTTGACATTTTGATTTGTATCTTTAGAGGTGAAATTAAGCATCTTTTCATAAAGCTTATTGATCATCTGTATTTGTTTTTCTATTACTAACTTGCTCATGTCTCTTGACCATTTTTCTATTCGGTCATCTTTTACATATTGATTTGTAAGAGCTGTAATGTTAAGGAAGTTAATTCTCTGATGTATTTGTCACAAATTTTTTTTCAGTTTGTTATTTTCCTTTATTGATGGTACTTTTGCTTTTTTGTATTGAAAAAAATTATATTTAATTCTCTAGAATCCTAGCCATCTAGGACAGGAAAACATTTATGTAGTGGAACACTTCAGTATTTTTAAAAAATGTAAAGACATATCTGACTTGAGGATGGCAGTAAAAATTTAACAAATATAAACTTAAGCTTTCTCACATTTTCCATAAAGCAATTAAATAAAAACATTTCAAGAAACAGATGACATAATACCTCAATGCAAAACTCCCAAGTCAAATAGTCACTTACTGATGGTACTTTTTTCAATGCGAAGTTAAAATTTTTGCTGTAAACATTATCAATATTATATTTTATGGCTTTTGGGTCTTCATCATTCAAAAGTTTTAACTAGAACAGGGACACAAGCAGATTTTCAAATGAGAAAAGCACACTGCTGTGTAAAAATACACTGGAAAGAGGGATCAAGGAACAAGAGAAGAAGCCAAGAGAACAATTATGCAGCTGCTTCAATAGTGAGAAATAATGGTAGAATGGACTGGAGATGGGGAGGATGTGGAGCAAAGAGAAGTGAATTGATGTTTCGTTGGGTACGTATTGAGGGACAAATTCAGCTGCATCCCTGTCCATAGATTCTAAAATAAACATATGGAATCCTTGTGAAAATTATTTTGCTTATGCCAGTCGGACTGATTTTTTGCCACTCTTAAGCAAACATGTCTATCAAAACCGTGTGAAAAGTCAATGTTTTACTGTTGACCAAAGAGTCTTTAACAAATTTTCCAATGACTGGGAGAGAGATAATCTAGAATGTACAGTATTTTAATTTAAACCTACAGTCCAAAGTAGATCTAGAGAGAACATTTTTAAGTGACATCAGAAACTGGCCGAGGTTGCTCCTTTGGCTTCTCCTGTGTTAGGCCATGTTCTCTTGAATACCTGGTGCAGTTGCTCAAGGCAGCGAAGGTTTTGGGGGCCATACACACTGATTATTACTTACATAGAAGCTTCTCCTTTTGCAGGGGGTCTGGTATCAAATCATCTCTTTCCCCAAAAGAGCCACTCAAGACGAATCGGGGATTATTCTTCCAAACATGCTGTTGCGTAGCTGAGTTTGGTAAACTGCCTCTCTGAGCTAAGAATAGGCAGTTTAATTAAAGGTGCTGGAAAGCTAGCTCATCGCTTCTAACATCTAGGTCAATACCAAAACCCCCACTACCATAGACCTTTACAATAAATACTTCCCATTTTCCAAAGAGCTTTCACACTCTAATTTACTTTAGTCAAACAGTATTTTCTCCATTTTATAGTGCGGAGGACTCTTGAGAAGCAGCATGGTATAGTGGAAAAGAGAAAGAGTTTGGGAGGCAGAAAGACCTGGTAGCTATCAGAGCGGCCAAGAAGAGAGCCATAACCAAGTGAAGGCTGGTACCGAGTGGAGCCCTGATGCCCAAAGCTGCTTTGTCCTGAGGGTTCTGCTGAATCTGGCAAACTGGAAATTCAGTTTTTAACCAATTAGTAATCACTTAAAAAATGAAATAGTTAATAAGAAAGTTTAACAAGATCGATAGAAATAAAATCAATGTAAAAACTTAATTGTATTTCTAAATATGAGGAACAAAATTAGAAAATCAAAATTTAAAAAGATACCATTTATAATAGCACAAAGAAATGAAGTTCTATGAAAAAATTGAAATCTTTATTGGGAGATAGTAAGGAAGACCTAAATAAAATGGAGAATTAGATTATGTACATAGATTGGAGAACCCAGTATTGGCAAATTCTCAGTTCTTGTGAAATTAGATTCTATAGATTTAATGCAATCCCAATAATATTTTAACATCACATGACAATTCTAAAATTATATAAAAAGGCAAGAGTATTCAAGACATCTTTGAAGAACAGTAAGATTGGAGGACATGTCTTTCCAGATATCAAGACCATTTTAATGTCACATAATGTATTAACAATGCGTAGTATTTCTGCAAGGACAGACAAGGAGACCTTTGTATACATGTATCCTCAACAGAGATTACATAACAGATCAATGGGGAAAGGAAGTACTTTTCATTAACGGTGCTGGAAAGTTCACCATTAGTTTATTCAAGTATAACTCTCCCAGTTAATCAAACAATTTACTTCATGAACCCAGGAAAGGTGATGCTAGATAAGAATGAGATATTACCTTTAAAGTAACCATAGTACTGGAGGTGACGGTACATAAAGTCTTCATAGGGATCAGGAAGAGTCTGTGAAAGGAAAGGCCATCTCAGTCAGGAAAGTCCCTTCAAAAAATACTGAACTCTTAACAAAGGGTACCCAAGCACGGTTGCAGAGGACAGTATACCTGAGGAATTCTGTAAACAAATCAAGTGAAAGACATTCATGCAAATTATTCTACCTTGGGGATCAAAATCTTCAGCTAGAAAAAGATGTCACCAGGATACATCTCTGATTTAGTATTGGATTTCTGTGGGGTTCCTGGAGAGGGGTGTGTACCGACCTCCTGCTTTAGCTCTGTTTCCAATGCTGGGAACATGTTACTTCTGTATTGGTATACTGAAGACCAGTCAGTGACATCGGCATCCGGCCACAACCCCTGCCTGCTCGATTTCCAAGAGGGCAGCTGATTACACAGGAGAAGCTAAAAAACAGAACAAGCCTACTGAAAAAACTGCCCATATTCTCCACTCCCATCCTGCACCCCCGCAGCACAAGCGATTTTAGGAAACCCTGTCACATCGTTCCGTCTTCCCTGACAACTCATCCTCTCCTCGGAAAGGCCTGGCTGGTGGTTCCCACTCTGAGTCCCGGAGCCGCACCTGAGGAATTAGGGAGGGCGGCATGCCTTCCAGCCTCCTCCTCCCGAGGCGCCAGGACCATAGCAGGCCCCATGCTTCCCTCTCCCAGAGGAGAAATATGAGAAAGATGGCCAACACCAGGACGCCGCAGGAAAGTGAAAAAAACGGGGATCTGGCGAGTTGTTTCGGGCTAGAAGAAAATGAAATATAAGGTGCCCAGAGAGTGGGCTCTAAAAACGAAATTCAGGGGTTCAGGACTTCCTGGTCCGGGGGAAGGTGGTGAAGGGGATCCAAAAGGGTGAGGGGAGTGGCGTAGGTTTCCTAGAAAGGCAGAGGAAAGGGTGCGATCGCCTCCGCGCTCCGGTCCGTCCTGGGGAATAGGTGTAGGTGCGGCGCCTGTGGCAACAAGTCCTGGACGAGGTGGGAGGCCACCTCTGGGCAGGTACGAAGCCAAGCAGACTACCGTGCAGAGGACACGGAGGACACACCGCCCCACCGTTTTCTGCTAGGGCCCTGGTAGCCTAGCAACTGTGAAACGGAAGCGGGAAGGCGGGGTGGCCCCGAGCTTCCGGGGAGCGAGGCTCTGCCTCCAGGAAGGTGGGGAACCCGGGAAAGACTAGCATCGTTGCAGCAACAGCTGATTCAGGCTCAATCTTCCTTTCGTACAGTACTGCAGACCCGCTTCTGGAGAATCGATATTGGGTTGATGAATACAAAGCCAGTAGTCTTCACCCTATTCTAAACTTCTTTGCTGTTCCTTAGCTTTCAGTAACCGTTAAGTGTTGCTCGAAGGGTGCTGCTCTCCTTTCACCTATTATATTCTCTCCACCTCAGAGCTAGAATTTGAAAAATTACTTTCTACATTGAAAAAAAAAAATAAAGTTAGCATATTAAAACCGCACATTTTGACTACCAAATTGCCAGATTTTAAAAAATGCTGCATTCTGGTAGGATAGTGTCAGCAGGCACTGGTGCTCTGTAGACATTTCTACAAGTCTGGAATACTGTTACAACAAAAGCTTTAGCAGCTCCATTTCCAGAAATCTGCTCTATGCGATTACAAGAGAAACAATTTATATGCAAAAGGTCACTCCAATATTTGCATAATGGGGTAAAATCCAACACACTAGAATACATGACATTAGATAAAAATTTTAAATTATATGCATTTAAGAATACTGGCATAAAATTCAAACTCTTAATTGTTGTCTTTGGTTAAGTTTATATGAATATAACCATAAGGATATATTATTTTTATAATCAGAGGGAAACAAAGCTCCTTTATTTATTCAAAATGTTAACATGACATTTACAGGATTTCAGTAGATCAAACATTAGCTAATATTATAGAATATAAACTTCAAAATTTAAGTCATGCAGTATTTTCTGGTTCTAGTAAGATTTTTTTTTTTAAATGCTTACAGGACCTGGTCTTCCTAGGTGGTCATCTATCCAAGTACTAACTGGGCCGACCCTGCTTAGCTTCTGAGATCAGACATCCAGCTTGTTCAGGGTGGCATGGCCTTAGACCAAGGACTGTGGCTCCATTGGGGTGTGAACCCAGGACCTTCTGCGTGTAGAGCAGACATGCTAACCGCTACACTATGGAACCACATCCTGCATTTTCGGGTTCTAGAAGCATTTTTCTAATTCTGCCCTCTTCCAGTCCCTTCGCCCCACAACCAACTCAAGATCCTGCTGCTCCTTTTTCTTGAGGGCTGTTCGTTAATGTTTGGATACACCTTATACTATATTTGATTAGAAAAAAACAATTAAGAATTGACTTAAAATGTCTTAGTTATATAACTGTGGAGTAACAGGTTTAGAAGAGTAAAAGGATATAAAAGGATAGTCATTCAGAAGTATAAAAAAAGCTTTATTAATGTATATATACAAATTTACAAGGTCAGAAACTGGAGAAATACAAACAGCTTTAAAACACAATTTGCCTTTTCTTCAGTTTAAAGTGACTTTTACCTGATTGTGATACAATAGAAAGTACAGAACAGTAAACTGCTTTTTAAATACTGGAATTTTATGGACAATACGTTCACACATAAAAGGTAGGTGAATCTCGGAAAGAACAATGGAGACACATCAATACATACAGTGGCTCTTGTTACATTTACTGCCACAGATGTGAGGGGGACATTCTCAAAATCAGATATGAACATCTGCTGCTGCTGCTGCCTGTACTGAAATTTAAATATTTCACCTAGTATATGAAATGACTGAGCTATCAGTTCTAGAATGTGAGAAAGAACTCTATAGTGTGGCCATCTGTCAGCACAAGGTAAACAACTTGATATACCTCAGCACTTCAGAGGTGGCAGACTAGAGGAAGAGGTCAGAAAGAGATTCTGATAATCCCAGGTAAGCAAGGTAGAATACAGAGCTGCCTTCTTAATTGCACTTGTTCTGAAAAAGTTACGAGAGAGAGGCACACTAGGAACTAAATGAGCCTCCATTATGCAGGAAAAGCCTTCATTTTTTGTCAGTGAGTCCTCTAGAGAGGTGTCATACTCATGAGCCACATCACATGTTCGAGACTGATGAGGTTAATGTACCTAGCATGCTGAGTTTGCCAGTGTGAGAATAAAGGCAGCCAAGTGAAAGCATTCAGTCACCTCACCTCAGCAAAACAGAAAAATTACATTTCACAAGTGTGAAAACTTTGTATGTGTATGCTCTTGCCCAGGAAATTCATTTACTCTCCCTCATAACATTTATAGTTTATTGACAACAGTAAAACAGGTTAAGACTCTGAACTGAACACACGCACAAAAAAATCAATAATAAAAATTTAAAAATTAAAAAAAAAAAACCAAAAAACACAACTATGTGTTTGGAGCCATTTTCCTTCTCTTCAGTCTTGCTCGCCAATCCTCAGGAAGGGCTTCAAAATTAGCATTTCTCTCTGCCATGCCACTGTGAAAACAACACACATTACTTCACTGGAAAGAAAAAGACTGAAACTCTTTACTTCCTAGCAAGTAAAAATCTCTAATTGAAACTGAAAATCTGATATGTCACATTTATGTTCATGAAAACACTTCAAGTTTCTCAGCCAAGTACTAGCATATTCATCAAATTTCCTCTGATGGGTCAACCAAAGATATACTCACATTTCATACAGTTTCATGTATATGTAATTGCATATTTATTTTTATGTATCTTCAGTATCCATTAAAGTCACATTGAAGAAATAAAACACATTTTTGTAAAAGTTTTTCTTAGTCCCTAGAAGTTCTGATTCTTTAAGGAAGATATATTTAACCTCCAATACACTATAAGGACCTTTGGACCTAATTTTTTTGAGATTCTCTTTTGATCAGTTGTATTTGTAAGAATTGATATCTCATGGTTTTTTCAATTATTTAGAAAATAGGTTAAAACTCAGGTTCTATCTACCAGAATGGATGCACTAGACTTATCAATCTAAAATAATCTAAGATACATTATAGAATCTTTGTGATTTTCCCATCATCTTGAAATAGTCTGTTATTTCATCACTGTAGGAATTAATCATCATTCAATTCCCAGCAATACTAAAAATGACTAAAATAAAAAAATGAATAGAATCACCTACAAGGATGACACAAAAGTAAAATAAATGTCACTAATACCATCCCTCAGTTTTCTTATTTTGTTGCCCAAATAGTGCATCATCTTTCAAAGAAGTAAAAAGTAAGTCTGGAGACATCTTCATAGTCTTGTTTTCTTTTGCAAATATTAGACAAACCAGAAGATAAATGCAGAGACAGATAGTGGCACTAGAGATTCTAATTATGATAAAATTGATCAAAAAAGTAAAACCTCAGACTACAGGTGTTAAGAGAACTATATTCAAGATGAATTTTCTCAAATTTAAGATTGATGAGTAAATATTTTCTAAGGACAAAAAGGAAATATAATATTCTCATTCAAAACGAACAACTTCAACCAATATTTTGTTACGAGAACCTGAACCATCTCATTTTCCTAAGAAGACACGTGACAGGAATCTTTTCGAGTTTTATGATGCTGTATGATCAAACTTATTTGATAGGATTCATAAGTAGACACCCTGAAACCAGGTGTAGAGAAATAGGTATTTTAGAAACAAATAAAATTCATTAGAATGATTATGCCTATGGTGTTTATATATAAAATGAAAATGTTTTACGGATGTCACCATAACAAAATAAGTAAATTAATTTAAAAAAAAGAAAGAAAAACAAGGCAAAAAAAATTTTGAATTATGAAGCAAAGAAAGGCTGTCCTCTCCCAATTGTTTTCCTAAGTACTTCATTTACAGATGTTGCAAGTACAAGAGCCAGAAGTGAGGATAAGCTAGAACCTGTCAAAGATGGATTTGAACTCTAGTATCACTACTTATGAGATGAGTGTGTTCCAGGTTATGCAGGACAACTGAACAATTAAGTGCATTAGAAGAATGTTGCTCATTTCAGTATGTACACCTTCAAAACCAGGAAAATAAGGAATAAAAATTTAGGTTAGCTATGTTTAAATTCTCATTAAAATTTCTAATGAAGTTTTCTTCTCTTCATTTTATTTATGTAAAATTTATATAAAAGGAATGAAAAAAAACATACATAAAAGAGAATGTCTCTAGGTGGTAAATGGAAATGCCTTATTTTTCCTGGTATGCTGTGTTAAGATAGTCCTTTATCTAAGGTGAACAATCAGTGAGAGAAAGTATTACAACACCGATAGTTCTGATTTTGAAAAAAGGCTAAGCCATAATTTTTATAAATATTTCTATGAATTAACCACAACCCACCCCTCCTGCGGTCTCTTTTCTTTTACCTGACCAGCTGCTGTTGTTTCCACTCTTCAATTCGCTTCTGTGCAGTTGATTCCCGGTCCTCTTCACTGGAACTAGAGTTCTCCTCTTCATCTAACTCACGCTGGATACTCTGCCACTTCTTTACCAGAGATGGCATTTTGGTTTTGCTCTTCTTCGCCTGTAACAAAGTTTAAAGGTCAGAAGGAGTATAAAACACAAAGAAATGAGTCCTCCACATGACATCAGGATCTTCCCTTAGCGCTAAGGAATAAGTGAACTTTAAGATCGAAAGAACAGAAACGCAAAGTAAATACCATTCTAAGTTCTTGCCAAACTGTAAATGTGGTTATTTTATGAAATCAGGCCAGAAAAATTTCCTTTAGCCTTATTCTATGGAATTCAAAACTGCGGCCTTTATCTCATCTCAGAAATAGTGTTTCTTTTCGCAAATTTTAAATAGACTGTGTTAACATCAAGTGAAAAATAGAGCTGAGAAACAAATGACCAGCTTTTCTGGAAAGAGCAACAAAGTCAATGCCAACTATTAAATATAAAACAGAGCAAGGAGATATAGCAAAATATGAACGATGAGATGAGTTCTAACGGAAGGTATAATAAATTTTATTTTTCTTCTTTTGGCTTACCTTCATTTTCTAAATTGTCTATAATAAAGGTGCACTCTTATAGTAAAAAAATATTTGTGATACTTGCAAAAATAGAACTATATATCCCAGATGGTTTG